AATGATTAACGTACGTACAGCACCGTACATTTCCTAGTGAAAACAGTCAAATTGTTGTGATAAAAATACAACAATTATTTTATAGTGATTACAAGACGTATTAATTAGGAATGTTGGCCGATATTATCGGGCCGATGTTAGCATATTATTATATATATTATTTAATATTTGTGAGAATTGTTACGGGATTTTCCTCCAATAATAATGTATACTATCGGCATATCGGATATCTGCGAAGTTAATATCGGACAACTCTAGTATTAATCAATATTCAATACTTGATTGGGACATTGAAACATTTTGCATTCCACCTTTAGTTCATCGCTAATGATAAATGGCAGCATAATTCTACTACTCAAGAAAGTGAGGGGTACACTGAGGAGTCCTGTCCTCCTGTCTTACACACCGAGTTTGAATCTTCGATGAGAACCTCAGATGAGTCCTTTTAGTCTCCACACAAGCATCTGATTCGATTGAGCCGCCAGTGAAGTGCTGCACTGTTTTCCTCAGGGACTGGTACTGATGCTGCTACTGCTAGTGGAGAGCCACACCCTGCTCCACTTCATTACCAGCAGATAAGATATCCAGTGTCCCACCCTTTACATGAACAGAAGTTACACTTACATTTCTGATCATGCAGACAACATCCTGTTAACGGCCAGATGTTAATGTGAACAAATCTGATTTTATGTCATTTAGACCACAGATGGCAAATATACTGTAAGTGGATAAAAAATCTGAATTAAAAACCTGAGAATATTCCGACCAACCTCCTGTTTTGGTTCAGATACATGTCAAATATTGGGTTTGTTATTGTTGGTTGTCAGTGTGAGTTTTGAGTCAACACTCAACTGAATCAGCTTTCTGATCTCTATATCACAGCAAAACGACCAACTTGTCTTCAGAGCACTGATGACTTCCGCCGTTTCACTGTTTCCTGATAAACATCCACCCTCTCCGTGCCAGCACCAGCACCACCACCAACAACAACTGAAGCACACAGATCTAAACTGTGAAATCCCCCCGCCCCCTCCTCCTCACTATTTTTATGGGAATTCAAACTTAAACAAGAATCATCCCAGTTTGATTGGTTTGCTGTTTTTTGAATGTCAAAAAACCCTGGGGGCATCGCATCTCAGCGGGTTTACATCTAAGAAATGGGTAAAACCATTTCCTCATGTGGGGGGGGAGGCGGGGGGATTCCCAGCCCCACATGATGAGTGTGGTCAGACCCGAGGGGTTTAAAAATTACTTAAGACTGCTTCATTAGG